GGCGAATATCGCATTCGATGGAACGATGAGCTGTACGAGATATACGACGACATTGACATAGTTCAGCGAATTAAAAGACAGCGGCTACGCTGGCTCGGTCATGTTGTCCGGATGGACGAAAACGCTCCAGCTCTGAAAGTATTCGACGCAGTATCCGCCGGGGGAAGCAGAGGAAGAGGAAGACCTCCCCTCCATTGGAAGAACCAAGTGGAGAAGGACCTGGCTTCACTTGGAATATCTAATTGGTGCCACGTAGCGAAAAGAAGAAACGACTGGCGCGCTGTTGTTAACTCGGCTATACTAGCGTAAGCGGTGTCTACGCCAATCAATAAGAAGAAGATATTGAATTTCGGGTCAAATTCCTTTCTGAAAAAAAATTTATATCAATGTCAATATACTTAGCATAAATATTTTCAAATTTCCTCACACAAGTGAGGAATGTTCTCTGATCGCCATTTACTTGGGAGTGGCCAGAAACGATTCTTTTACATATGACTAAGTATCCTCTTTGTAGCCTAAGAACATACGTTTGAAGGCGAGCTAAAGTGAGAAGACGATGCATACCTACCGCTGGGTTTGGAACCCGCCCCGTATCAAAACGCACCCTATGAAAAAGAACAACAAACGAATTAAGGAAAACGATTTGAGGGCATGCACCTGGAATGTCCGGTCCCTCAATTGGGAAGGCTCCGCTGCCCAGCTGGTTGATGCCCTCGTTAAAATGAAGGCTGACTTCACTACCGTCCAAGAAATGTGATGGACGGGACAAGGACTGAGACAAGTAGGCCCTTTTGGCATTTACTACAGTGGCCACAAGCCACATCAAAGCGAAATTCTTCAACTTATCGCTGATCTGCGTCCACGAAGCGACGGAAGAGGAGGACGATGTGACCACAGATGCCTTCTATGAACGATTGGAGCGCACCTAAGAGACCTGCCCCCGCCACGATATCAAAATCATGCTTTAACACCAGGGTGGGCAAAGAAGGAATCTTTCACTACAGTTGGTACATTCAGCCTCCACTATGAAACATCCCCAAATGGTTTAAGGTTGATCGAATTTTCCGGCACCCGAAATTTGGTTAACTGTAGTACTAGATTCCAGCATAAGAAGATACATCAAGCTACCTGGCTGTCTCCGGATCGAAAAACCACCGACCAGACTGATCATGTTGTGATAGACGGAAGAAACGTCTCCAATTTTTTGAAGGGCGTGCGCTCCGAGGTCCTAACATAGGCTCGGACCACTATCTTGTTGCAGCCAAGCACACCCCTCTGTGCAGTAAAAAAAAAACACACTCGGCCAAACACAAGGAAAGTTCGACATCGAGAAACTGCAATCACAGCACACAGCAAAACGATTTTCTACTCGATTTGCACTCCTGCCCTCTGAGAGCACTCGTCAATAACTCATTATAAGAGAACTGTGGGATGGCATTTCCTTACGTACAGCTGCAACCTAAATCATTGGTTTTCGGGAAATGCAAAAGAATAGCTGGTACGATGAGGAGTGCAGTGTCGAATTGGAGAGAAAATAGACTGCCTACCTCGCAACGTTACGATCGACCACAACACGTGTGGGATGGGATAGATACCGAGTGTTGAAGAGGGAAGCGAGGCGCATTTGCAGACAGAAGTTCCCGACCATGAAGAAGTTCGAATGGCAGAAGAACAACAAAGCGGCGGGCCCTGATGGATTGCCGGCTATTCACACAAGATGGCGAAGAACTAATAAGGAGCATCCATAAGCTACTTTGTAAAATATGATCGCACGAAAGCATGCCCAGCGACAGGAATTTAAATGTGCTCTGCCCAATCCATAAAAAGGGAGACCCGCGCCGTTAGTTCTGCTTTCTCCAGACTGAATAAGGAAGCAACGCAAATATGTCGAAATATTTCCTGTCATCAAAACGGCGGGTACTGCGTCGAATACTTTCAGAGCTCGAGTGTTTCCGACCATTCCAGGTGCATGTCCTCAAATCGTTTTCCTTAATTCGTTTGTTGTTCTTTTTCATAGGGTGCGTTTTGATACGAGGCGGGTTCCAAACCCAGCGGTAGGTATGCATCGCCTTCTCACTTTAGCTCGCCTTCAAACGTATGTTCTTAGGCTACAAAGAGGATACTTAGTCATATGTAAAAGAATCGTTTCTGGCCACTCCCAAGTGAATGGCGATCAGAGAACATTCCTCACTTGTGTGAACTTCTACACATGGATCCATCCTCCCATTTTGTTATCAAAACCGGACAGTGATATAAATTTTGTTTCAGAAAAGAATTTTCCCCGAAATTCAATATCACATCTCACAAATTTTTAAGAGTGTTTGCTAATGGATATCAGTTCTGTCCTACATACCAAAATTTTATCGTTATCGGTAAATTAGGTGCCGACATATAAGTTTTCACTTAAATGTGAGTGGTGTCAAATCATTTTTTCCCGGGATCCTATAAAGGCCTCTTGTACTATCTCGAGTTTTATCGTACTTTTGGTAGTTTTTAACCAATCCGTTAAATGGGAAGTGGGCTGCTTATCATTCGGTTTCATCCACCCTTACAGTGTCGGTAGGGGTGCTTAATAGATTTCCCTAAGCGAGTTTTTTTAATAATTTGGTTACGCCAAGTGTAAGCTAGTAGGTTGCCGATATCATCGGTTTCACTAAATGCACCTTTTTGGTGAGAAGAGAACTAGTTCAAATTCAGAGAGACTGGCATGGCTAAATCGACTCATCTCGTCACGATGATCATTTATATAAATGTAAAAATGTAAAAGTAATAGGACTGATTTTCTTCATCCGCGAATATACTTAGGAACGTGCGTGCAATGACTGGATTGGGTAAAATGCGTTCCTAGTTAATGAACGAGTGGCTGATCAGTTGTCTCCGAGCACCTGGAGAGTCAAGGCAATCATTTGGCCCGACGTGTTTCTGTTGAGAGTCTCCGACATTTCTTCTTGGATGTTAGAAACAACGTGTCAAACTTAATATACCCTGTTCAGGGTATAAAATAAAATGTTTAATACTTTTAGATATGTAAATAATTTGTAATTTATTTCTTTAATTTACAAAGGAATTTAGGTCGAACAGTTTTCATATACTGCAGCAATGATTTGAATATATCTGTACTATGTACTATATAATATAAATATATTGCTAATTTTGTACACAAATACATATAATTATGTATGTGGATATGCGCGAGTAATGTTCCGTAGCCGTGTTAGGATGAGGCTTGATGAGCAGCACTGCTTTCAGTCCCTTGTCTGTTACTTAGCCGCATAACTGGTTGCCATGACGTTCGCAATTCGGGTCGTAAACGCCAAATCTAAATAAGCAAACGTGTTGGTAAGTGTCGCCGGGGTTCAGTATAACGGAGGGGAAATTGGCCTGAAAAGTTTCAAAAACGATGTTTATCTTCATAATTTCCTATAATACTAAGTATGTCATTATATAGCAAATACTTACGTGATTCACAGCGTCCGGGAACCAGTGTGTTTCCATACAGAATGACCCGTGCTTCTCGTACATACTGCGCCCCTTGCCCATGATCATGGGTTGCGTGTTACCTTTCTTTTTACCCCTTTTCTTTTTTAGTATTTGTCATAATAATGTACATATGTTAATGTTAGTGGGATATGATATGAGAGGTAAGTTAGTAGTTTAGTGGGATTGATGAAGGGAAGGGCTAATGCGGTTAGGTTCATTAAAATACTAACCTCCAAGTCTGGCATGTTGTGCGCGGTATAGAAGTGCATACAGGGCTGATTGCTTAAAATTTCCATGCAGCGACCACTGGGAGGATGGAATACTCTGAAAAATGGTATATTGTATGTTGAATTGAATACCAATTGCTTCAATCACTGAGTATAAATGGGGGCTTTCTTTGAAACATTTTTTATTGCATACTTTAAAGTGGAAGCTTTATGTACCACCCCAACTTAAGAGTTTATTAACATTTTAATGTAGTTGGTTTAAACTATATTTTCATACAATAAAAACTCGCTCTAAAATACTTTTGATCATAAGCGGATGGATGACTTCTAGGATTAGTGTTAGGACCATATCTCGATCGACACTAGTATGAGATAACTTCTTTTAAGTTCTTTATGAAATTAAAAAGCACCTATAAAATATACATATAACTTTCTAATATTTTATCGCAAAAGTTGAAACTGTTATTAGCGAAAAAATGTATGAGTATATTGTAAAATCATTAAAATTAAAATTATGCATTTTGACTTAGTCTGAATAGGGTATATTAAGTTTGCCATTTTGTAGCATTAGAAGGAAATATCGGAGACTATAAAGTATGGACTATTTTCATAGCAAAATTAACGACGTTACAAATATTTTTATACCCTGAGCAGGATATACTATAGGCATACCTAAAAGAATACCTTGGAGATCCATATGTATGTATGAACTTATATAAATGATCAGCGTGACAATCAGAATAAATATCCCTTTACTATATTTCTTTTTATGCCATAAATGTGAGGGGTATTTTAGCTTCGGTGCAGCAGAAGTTAAAGTTTTATCTAATTATATCTGTCTTATGAAAGTTTTTTGTCAAATCTTGAAAGAGATCTCCACAACTCACGATTTCAGCTCCAAAACCATTCCATACATACAGCTATGGACAGAGATTTAGCGCATTTTCTTAATGTGAAATATGATACTTAATAATGTTATATTTAAAGAAGGAAGAATCGTTATAATGTAAACAAAAAAATTTATTACCTCACTGAAAACTAAAGAAGTCCGAAATTTCTTAGTTTTCTATAATAAAGTACAACGTTTTGTTCAGTTTAGAATATTAAGTCAAAATTGGCTTGGCTTTAAAAGATCAGTATGGTAAAATAAATATTATCAACACGTGGCGTGAAAGTTTCTGATATTATATCTAACTTGGTTAATACTTAGTGGAGTAACCGTTATTCGTTATCACCGCTTCACATCTGCGTGGCAAGCTGTCTATTAACCTTTGGTATCTGTCCAAAGGAATAGAGCTCCACGCTTCCTGTACTCCTGCAAAAAACACTTCGCAATTTTTAAATTTTCTTTGTCCAACTTTTTCTTCGACATCATTCCACAAGTTTTCGATCGGGTTTAGATCAGGACTTTGCGTTGGCCAATCGAGAAGTGGAATTTTTTCTTGCGTAAGCCAGTTTTTTAATCACATTTACTGTATGCTTAGGATCGTTCCCGTGCATAAAGATCCAGTTTACAGGCATAATATCATAGGAATATGGCTCCATTGTATTTCTCAGTATATTAAGGTATGCACGTTTATCCATTGTCCCTTCTCTCTTTACTAGGTGTCCAACTCCACGCCATGAAAACGATCCTCATACTTTTAAATTTCCTCCCCCATGCTTTACGGTCTATTTAGTGTACCTTGGATTGACTTCTTGGTTTTTGTACAACTGTTTTACCCTCAGGACCAATCCGGTTTGTTTTAGTTTTGACCGTGTAAAGTATCCTTTTTCAAAAATTTAAATCTTTTGATCTACGCACTTTAACACGTCCATACAAATGATTTTCATTTAAACGTCTTCGTACTAGCCTACTTGACACGTTTAAGTCCAATTCTGCATTGACTTCGACCATAATCGCGCGTAAGGACTTGAAAGGATCAGCTTTACACTTTCTAAGAATTATTTTATCCTCGCARGAGGTTGTTTTGCCAGGGCAGCCCTGCGAACCTTGTTTTGCTTTAACAAATTTGTATTACTCTTAACATTTTTGATGGCATTGTACACCATTTTTCTTAAACATTTTACTATTTGTGCAATTGTTTACTCGATTTGTACCGTTTTTGTAAAGGTCCCAAATAATTTTTCTTTTTTCAATCGAATCGTATTTCCCTCCAGCCCTTTTCTAAAATTTGTAATATTACTAAAACTATTGAATACAAGTTCACAACTGAGATTATTTTTTTGTTGGACCAAACACAACTAATGACAGAAAACATAAGTGCGCTAAATCGTTGTCCAACGATTTTATGACGAAATTTAACAAAAACAAATTAACGGTATTTGAGGGGAAATGATAACGGGTATTTTCCACGCATTTAAAGAGGCGATAGAAGCAGTTTTGATCTACAAATTCATGAAAATATCGCTCTCGTAGAAGTAACGGTAATATTTCTAATTTTAAATGCAAGTGCACTAAATCTCTGTCCATAGCTGTAAATACATATGTATGCATGTATATCCTTTGACATTTCTAACACTATTTTCGTACACAATTTACGAAGTAACACCAAGGGTAATTTTTAAAATTGTTAATAATTTTTATTTTGCAATAACAAATTACCCTAACTCTAAGAATTATTTTTCTCCTTAAAAGTTTTCTAAACAAATTAACCTGGATTTTTTGATTGGGGAGTATCCACTTTTCTGAGATATATCAGTTTGTACTGTTGCCGTATTTTTAAAAATTTCTTCGTGAAAACTTTATTGTTTAAAATCATGGAATCTGATATTTAAATGCACCTTTGGTTTTAACAGTGTCGTCACTAATACCTCAATTACCCCAATCTCACAAAATTACAAGCTTATTGTGATCAGATATTTCAGTCAAGTGCATATAAAATGAATGACTCGAATTGTTTAAATACCTACTTTGCTTGCTTCTCAATACATCCCGGTGTGTGCTTCAGTACGTAATTGTGGTCGTAACCCTTGGCGATCTTAGATATTTTTCTCAAACCCTCTCCGACATTTGTCAGCTTACGTAAATCCAATGGATGATTCTCCAGGCTAATAAACTGACCATTGGGCACCGTTTCTTCGTCCATATCGGTTATACAGTCAGCCTTTATCTTAACGATATGTTCCGCCATACCCTGCTTGCCTGCGTTCTAAATATATTTACATGTGAGTAATAGAGCGGATCGACTCCCTTACTATTAAGTTGCCTATGCGGGAAATGTTATACTGAGCATTCTGAATTTGAATAATCGGTTGAACGATTTCGAAAAATTATTAGCAATAAATTTAATTAAGTTATCGCACGCACTGACGAACAAATGTTTATGATCCCTAAAAAACTTCGCTTTTAAAAATCGCTGGTTTGAAAACGATTGTCAATAGCCTCTTTGGCAAAGTTGTTCGGAGTAATTTGTACAACATTCCCCTCATACGCGATTTTTTCGTTTTTTGGCTTCCTGTATACATATGTAGTTGTAGGTATCATAATTCAATGGATATTTCACTCACATGTCCCGCCAAATTGAAGTATGCATGATTAGTCATATTAACCGGTGTTGGCTTGTTGGTGGTTGCTTCAAAGCAAAAGCGCATGCAATTATCATCCGTAATAGTGTAAGTAGCAGTGGCAACCACTTCACCAGGAAAGCCCTCATGACCATCGGGCGAAGTAAACTTGAAAACAACACCATCCGGTCTAATTTGATCCACTTCCCAAATGACCTTGCTAAAGCCATGAGTACCACCGTGCAACATGTGTTTTCCCAAGAAGTTTTTAGTAACCTCGTACTTTTTCCCATCGAGCATAAAGTTGCCATTGCCAACGCGGCTGCAAACACGACCTACTGAACACCCAATATAGGGATTGTTCTCGGTCAAGTAACCTAGGATGAAGATATGAAAACCTGATGAAACAACCTCTTATCGATAGCAAAATCTCACCTTCGATATTATCGAAGCCGAGCGTGATATCCTCTGCCATGCCATGGGAGTCCGGCACTTTTAGTGAAGTTATTGTGGCACCGAAGGTTATCAACTGAAAGCAATTGCATTAACGATTCGCATAAATTTTTAGACGTTTGCTTTTGTGCTCTCACCTGCATCGACATCCTGCGATCATTGGTGATGGTGAAGCGCCTGATTGCCACTTCCTTCTTGGTTAGGGGGTTGATTGTGGTACCGAAAGCATCCTCTGTCACGCAAACCATTTTGACACTATATTAGCTTAATTAGTTTTGGAATTTCACACGGCTACAATAAATTTTTATTATTATTTTATAATTAACTTTTTGTTTCCACACATATGACTGTATGTATAGCTGTGTACTATTTGACTATTAAAATCGCCGTTGGGCGAAAATATTTCTATAGTCGTTTCAAATTGAACGTCAACAAATCTTAGACAATTTTCGTATGTACTTCCTGTTTGACTGCTTTCATCTCTCTAACCTGTGAACAATTTTATTTCCCAACCTAAAGTGTACAAAGTATTTGTTGTCGAACTGCTAGAGCTACATGACTTTTGTGTAATCAAGCGCTGCGCGTCTTTCAATTCACATTCAATGTCGCTCGTATACGAGAAGTGATAACGTCAACCGAGCGCGTAATCTGCCTTTTGCTTCCGAGCGCGAGCACTTGTGGTTGCTTTAAGTAGGAGAACTGTAAATATGCACCAGTCAATGCTCATTATGCAACTCTTTGCTCTCAATAAGCATACGGGTGGCTCATGTTCGCATTACGTCTGAAACGGTCATGCTCACTGTTTTTGCGAGAAGACTTTTGTACACATCAACTCAAAATACTATATATGTATGTATATTTCAAACAAAACTAATTTATTTAGCACTTGAATATAATTACAAGTATGTGTAGTTAACAAATTACAATAACTTGTTGGTTTTTCAACTAATTTGTTTGTAAGCGAAAAACATGTATGAATGTGTGTATATATGTATATACTTTTTATACAATATTTCAGAAATATTCATTCATTGTAGTACATACACATATATGTATATAACTGGTAAGTATAGCATTATCTATTTGCTTCAAAGTTCCTTAAGTGAAATATCACAAAATATAGTTTACAAATAAAAAAACTGACTGGTCCAAAATTTACATTTGACATAATTTTTAATGACTAAATAAATTTGCTTACAACGTACAACTGAGACCCCAAAAAGTTATAGTTGAAGTTTAGTTTTATATTTTAATTTCTGTTTTTCTGTTTTATATACATATATATACATACATATACTTTATTTGATGAGTCGTTGTTTGCTACTGGGAATGGATGTTTATCAAGATATTTTTATACCCTGAACAGGGTATATTAAGTTTGTCACGAAGTTTGTAACAGCGTCGGAGACCCTATAAAGTAGATATGTAAATGATCAGTATGTTGAGCTGAGTCGATTTAGCCATGTCCGTCTGTCTGTCGGTCTGCATATATACGAACTAGTCTCTCAGTTTTTAAGATATCCTTTTGAAATTTTGCAAACGTCATTTTCTCTTCAAGAAGCTACTCATTTGTCGGAACTGCCGATATCGGACTACTATAACATATAGCTGCCATACAAACTGAACAATCGGAATCAACTTCTTGTATGGAAAACTTTCACATTGGACAATATATCTTCACGAAATTTGATATAGATTATTATCTAAGGCAACAATGTAATGTCCGAAGAAATTGTTAAGATCGGTTAACTATAGCATATGGCTGTCATACGAATTGAATGATCGGAATCAAATTTTTAAAAAAGTTAACATAGGTTAGTTTCTAAAGCAATAATGTAATCTCCGAAGAAATTGTTCAGATCGGTTAACTATAGCATATATCTGCCATAGAAACTGAATGATCGGAATCAAATGCTTGCATGGGAAACTTCCTCATTTGACAATATATCTTCACGAAATTCGGTATGATATAAATAATGTAATATCGAAAGAAATTGTTCAGATCAACTCAGTATAGCATAAAGCTGCCATACAAACCGAACGATGGGAATCAGGGGCTTGTATGGAAAACTTTCGCATTTAACGTGGTATCTTCACGAAATTTGACATGGATTACTGCTTAAGGTAATAATATAATCTCCGAAAAAATTGTTTAGATCTGAACACATAGGTACCAAAAGGAATGCATCTGTGAAGGCTATATTAAGTTCGGTGCAGCAGAGGTCAATGTTTCTTCTTGTTCTTGTTTGTCTTTGTAAATATTTAAGCAAATTGTTTTCACCAATTGATTATATTGCGTTGTTGCTTGGTCATGCTAGATTCATCTATCGATAAGTAGAACATGTTGGATTGACGTTCAATTAGATTACGTTTGCGAAGTCTCGTCTAAATAGTTAAATTCAACCCACCCTTCTTACTTTATTATTTCACTATTACTGCGATCCGGTCGTGGCTAGGAGGCTGCTTCATAACCCAAAATAATTAGGCAGGACTTGATGCGTTTGTAGTCTTGATAGGCGAGACGCTTACCACAATATGGTAATCATATTATTACATACATTTATGCACTGGGATTTGAGGCCACAAAATACATTTGTACATCGCACCTAGTTTCTGGTGTCAGCTAAGTATCACTCTTTATATTTCCTATAAATAAGTTTATACTTATTATCTAATCTTACACACATATGTATGTGTATGTTCAGTCATAAAGTGCATGTACCGTTTGATAAATTATTGTGATTACTTATTTTGAGATAACTTCTTCTTCTTAATTAACATAAACACCGCTTACGCAATTATAGCCGAGTTAACGACAGCGCGCCAGTCGTTTCTTCTTTTCACTACGTGCCGGGATTTGGATATTCCAAGAGTGGAGGTCTTCCTCTTCCGTTGCTTCTCCCCGCGGGTATAGCGTCGAGCTTTCAGAGCTGGAGTGTTTTCGTCCATCCGGACAACATGGCCTAGCCAGCGTAGCTGCTGTCTTTTAATTCGTTGAACTATGTCAATGTTGTCGTATATCTCATACAGCTCATCGTTCCATCGAATGCGATATTCGCCTAGGCCAACGTGCAAAGGACCATACATCTTTCGCAGAACTTTTCTCTCGAATACTCTACAATATATACCTATGTAAGTATTTTATAGGGACTCCGACATTTTCTTCTAAGTGAAACACTTCGTGGCAAACTTATAATTATTTTCAGCATACAAAGTCAGGTACAATTGTGACCAACTTCCCATCTAACTAAAATAGTAAGAAAGGGCTAAGTTAGGGTGCAACCGAACTTTTTATACTCTTGCAACTTGACATCGAAGTCAATACCTTACTTCATAACCGGAGGATAAGAATCCGAGCAATCATATGCATATTCAGTTGAACTATCCTAACCCGAATCAGCATAATACACAAAAAAAACGTCGAGCTAGCGAGACTTCAAATTATGGAAGGAAATTTGTATAAAATTTGACTTCTATTGCCAAGTCAAGAGTTAAGAAAATTTGAGTTATAGAAATTCAACTGCATATATGTACATATGTATATGTATATATAATATATAATATATATTTATATACTTATAGAAATATATATTTATATAAATAGAGAGAGATAACACTTACACTGACCGACATATTTATGTGAAAAAGGTTTGTTAGAAAAAACGGAAATCATTATACGTAGTATATGAAAGTTTGGAGTAGTACCGACCCAAATTTTTATCTACTTTTGCCAAACCTACCTACTATTAATATGCCTCATATAAAATGTTCCTTGGTGTTACTAAGGTACCACCTAGTAAACAGTGAATTTTACGATAATTATACTCTCGCAACAAAGTTGCTAAAGAGAGTATTATAGTTTTGTTCACATAACGGTTGTTTGTAAGTCCTAAAATTAAAAGAGTCGGATATAGGGTTATATATACCAAAGTTATCAGGGTGACGAGTAGAGTTGAAATCCGGATGTCTGTCTGTCCGTCCGTCCGTGC